ATCAGGAGTTCTGGATCAAGAGTTCTGGATCAGGAGTTCTGGATCAGTTCGTTGGCTCGTTTCTCTACAGCAGTCAACAAATTAAAAGTAAAGAACAGCTGAGGTTCTGCTGAGGAGGTTCTGAGGAGTTTGTTGCCAGGGTTCTGTTCAAATTTGGATCATTATCCGGTGAGTAGGTTCTGTGACAAGACCAGAACCTCTTCACAGGGAAGAATTAGACGAGACCAGGAGGTTTTGGTGTTGCGTTTGGGTGGTTGGATGTTGAACCCAGACCTGACTCTGAGAACTAGAAGAAGAACTGATGAAGAACAAAAGGCTGACAGGGCCCAGACAACGAAGAACACAGAGATGCTAATGACAGACAAAGGACAACAGGTGGCGGAGGCAGGAGCTGATTACACGAGGGAGAATAACTGAGGAGAGCAGGACTAGGACATGCCACAAGGGGGAGACGCACACAAGGGAACACAATTCTCACATCTGGATCTTCAGACGTTGGCCCTTTATTTGAACTTGAACTCTTTGAGTCCATTTATTCTTGGCGTTCGGAGCTCAGAGGATGGCTGTGGCGTTAATTTAAAGTTGAAGTTGTTTTTGTCCCCGTCACGGAGCGATGAAGGGGACTTGGAAATGTCCCCTGTCCGTCCTTCTGTCCTGTGAACACGATAACTTTCAAAATAAGAGACTTCCATTTCGGTGCCTCCAGGAGGAAGAAAGGTCAACAGCCAAGATGGCTGCTGCCATCCATATTTGTATGTCAACCAGACGCTGCTTTCTAGTTTTTTGTTGTGTCGATCGATGGTGGCGGCCAAAGATTAAGCTGTGGGGTCTAAGCCAACACCCCCCCCCCCCCCCCAGCTCCTCCACTGCTGCTGGTGGAGGATAAATGTCTGTCTGTTCTCCACTTGAATCCAAAACATTTAGGTTTACTTCCGTCCTCCCTCAGAGGCAGGGACATTAGAGGACAGATGTGACTTTAATGTGTTTTATTCTCGTCTCCTCCTGTCCTCCTGCTCCTCCTTCTGTCCTCCTGTTCCTTCTGTCCTCAAGATTTTACTGATCTGTCCTAAAAACTATCCATGAATTTCTCCTCCTAAGGTTCTCTCACACTTCAAGGGCCTAAACTCTTTGCTTCGTCTCCTTCTTTCCTTCTCCTCTCCTCCTCTTTCTCCTGCTGTGGCGGGTGTCTCCAGGCGTGGTGGTGGGGAGGCGGTGATCGGCGCTCCTCGGATCAGCGCCGGCAGCATCAGGAGCTCGGGTCTGAGAGGCAGCTTCAGCCGGCGCGTCAAAGAGAACTCCCTGGACCTGCAGGAGGAAGAACCCCCATCTCCTCCCAGCTCCTCCTCCCCCCCTCTGGAGGAGAACACCTCCTCACCAGAGGAGTAAATGACCCACACTTTCTTTATAACGAGCGAAGCCTCTACAGGTGTGAGTTTGTTTTGGTCCACCTGTGATTTGAAGTCATTTTATTATTTTAAACAATATTTAAAAAATAATCCGTAAGAGGTTACCTGTTTCATTATTACTAAATTTATTTGTATTTATTCAGTTTTAATGTTTTATTTTGTTTGTTGGGCTCCAACACGACAAACAAAAATCTGTCACCAAACATTAAAACAAACGTTGAGTCTGAACCACGGTAGATATCAACAACTGATCTGAGCACAAACCACACTGTCCACACCGAGACACGGGGGACAACGCTAACACTGCTGACCCCAACTGTCCCTGTGTCAGAGACCTGTCCCGGTGTCCCTGTGACGGATGGACACCTGTCCAGGTGTCCCCCTGCCTCACACACGGCTCCTCAGGAGCAGCTGAATCAGTAAATGTGAGTTTGGCTGCAGACTTTGAACGCAGCCATCAGCAAACATCATCCAGAGTCCTGGGAGCGTAACGAATGGGGGTGTGGACTATTTCCTGAAGTTTATCAGTGATGTCACCAAGAATTAGTCCCTCTCATTCAGAGACGTCAGCTCAGGAGTCCAGACTCTGAATTAGGTCCTAAAAGACACAAAATACTTGAATATTTAAATTAGTCTTGAACAAAACTAACAATAGAAACAGTTTATCTTAAAGCAGTTGTTTTAACGTTGTTTCTACGTTTTGAATAAAGTCATAACTAAAGGATTTATGAAATAGTTCTGATCCGACAGTTCAGTCAAATCCGTGACATAATGTTTCATCTGTGAAGTGAAATAAAACCAAAGTTATGTTTTTATGTTTAATATAATTTATTTCAATCTAATAAATTTGTTTGATACCCCAGAATGGTTTAAAGTGTTTTAATGCTCCAACTCAGATTCACGTTTAGGAGGAAACATCTGGATCACATCGTAGACCAGCAACCCATCAAAATAAAATCCCTTTGAGGCGGTTTAGTCCTCGAACTGTCTATCAGTTTTACACATAAAGTTAAATCAAAACTTAAACTGTTTTTACAGAAAATCTTCATTTTTTATTTCTGAAGAAAACTTTAAAACGCACTGAAAGACATAAAATTTGTTACGGTGGCCGACAAGTGCAAACACGCAGCAATTGGCGAAACGAGCTGCAAACAAGCTTCATGATGCAAACTCCAAAACACGCAAACGCAAAAAACACATGCAACAGAAAAACGCTACAAACAAATAAATGTTGCAATAACAACCTCCAATCAATAAAACAAATGCAAACCAAAAATGCTGCAAAAAGTAAAAACAACAAACTCGCTCCACAAAATGGAAGTGCTCCAGACCACTAGGGGAGTGGAACAAAGAACAAATCATAAAAGAAAGGTGGAGAAAGAAAGAAAGTCTTTGACAACATTATAGAATAGCAGCATAGTAACGTAGGTAATGTTAGCATGCTAGACTTTTACAAGTTTGCATCTCTGATGTGTCAGTCAGTGCATTCTGAGGTCACTGAGCAGGCTGGCCTGCTGCAGCGGCACGTCGGAGCGTCCGCCATATTGGATTAATTCATTCATTCAACCTTTATTTAAACAGATAAATCACATTGAGCCTCGAAGACTCATTTACAAGTGAGACCTGTTTGGCCAGACAAAAACAGTGGTTAACTGGACACATGTAGGAGTTGGAGGCAAAAAAAAATCCTATCAGACTTTTTTCTTGGCTGAGAAAAACCCCTAATATCGAAAAAACACCTCGCACAAACAAGCACATATTTACAAAGACATTCTGCATCAGAGACGAGAGCGGTCAACAACGCTTAAAGATGCTCTCGAGGTCACTGTAATCAGTCAATGTCCTCCGGTGAGATCCATAAATATTCTCGAGGTATGTCGAGAAATGGCCAAGGATAACCTCTATAAGAATCCAGAGTCCTGAAATGATGACACAAAGTTTTTTCAGCTGGTTTCATCTGGTTATCAGTTGGAAATTCCTCAGGGAGGGGGTGGTGAGCGTCAGATCACATTTTCTCCAGGCGACTTTAGATAAGATGGCCTTCAAGGACAACCAAGGCGACCAAAATTTAGATAAACACACAGTTGTTTTGGGGACAGGCAGAACTTAATGACATCAACCTTCAGTCTGTGTCGGTCTACTCAGTTCCAAAATGTCCAAATTAACATGGCCAACACCGATGGAAACGTGTCAGAGTAAAAATCCCCAAGATCTGATCCATTCAGCACAAAGCATTTGAGTCCGGGTACTCCAGAACATGAACCAAGCCATCATAAAGGCAAGCAGCGTGATCGGGTCCAAATTTTCTGCTGACGACTTCCTTGATTGTAGATAAAACCAGCACCAGCTGAATCCAAAAAGCAGGAACCATTTATCGAAAATCCAATTAAATATGCGTCCTTGACATCCACAGATGGCAGCAGAGATAGACACATCATCAAGTCTTCCAGTCGATGAGATATCCAGCTGCGTACGTGCCAACAGGGTAAATCGGCTCGCCCAAAGCCTGTCTTCTCTTCGAAGAAATGCTGTAAATTGAGATGAGGGACCAACTGGTCGAAACAAGTCCATAATTATGGTTCGGAAGAAATGCAAGAGAGGCTCACAGCAATTTCACAGACAGAGCAGCAAAGTAAAGCGGAGAGGGAGGGAGAGAAGCATCCGATCTCGTGGGGAGCGAGTGGTGAAGTGATGTGGCAGATCTGTCTGTAAACTAGTTATGCCCCTTTTCCATAGCTCCTCTATAGCACGTTTTGACTCAGCTCGGTACGGTTCCAACACTTTTTCCACTAGCAATTTCTCGTGAAACCGGCCTCTTTTTCAGGACCCATTTCTTTGTGGCTTCATCTGTGTGGAGCTGGCACCAAAACGTGATGTCAGAACACTGTCGATCACTGAATGGTCAGGGGGCGGAGTCATTGGTTCTCTGAGAAACTTTTCAAAACAACCCGATTCGCCATTTGCAATTACTCGAACTCGGAGCAAACACTACTCAAATCTCTTTACAACAATCTGTGCCCTCATTTACCCATTCATACATCACTCTACTAGATCTACAAAGCTAATTGAACAAATCAGTCTAAAGAGATTAATCAGAGCTTTATCACATTCATACACCGATGGGACATACATCAGAGGCAATGAGGGTTTCATTGTCTTGCCCAGGGACACTTAGGCATGTGACTGCTGGTGGATTTGAACCCCCAACTCTTGCATTGGAGGACAACTGTTTTAATCACTCAGCCACAGCCGCCCTGATATATTTCAAATGTTTATTTCTTTTAATGTTGATGATTATAACTGGCAACTAATGAAAACCCCAAATTCAGTATCTCAGAAAATTAGAATATTACTTAAAACCAATTTTAAAAAGGATTTTTAGACATATTGGCCAACTGAAAAGTATGAACATGAAAAGAATGAGCATGTACAGCACTCAATACTTAAAAAAAAACTTAGTTGGGGCTCCTTTTGCCTGGATTACTGCAGAAATGTGGTGTGGCATGAAGTCCATCAGTCTGTGGCACTGCTGTGTTATGAGAGCTCAGGTTGTTCTGATAGTGACCTTCAGCTCTTCTGAATTGTTGGGTCTGGTGTATCACATCTTCCTCTTCACGATACCCCACAGCTTTTCTATGGGGTTAAGGTCAGACGAGTTTGCTGGCCAGTTAAGAACAGGGACACCATGGTCCTTAAACCAGGTACTGGTAGCTTTGGCACTGTGTGCAGGTGCCAAGTCCTGATGGAAAAGGAAATCTACATCTCCATAAAGTCTCCATAAAAAACAAAATGTTTCAACAAAAGAATCTGTCCAGAGGACCTGACTCCACCTGGTTAGATTCATCTACCTGGATTACTGAGCACCAGAACATCTCAAACTTTTAGTTTCACTTGTGCTTCTCAGCCTTTAAAGTGTATTCCAACCATTTGTTCCAGCTCCAGACTCTGGAAACCCTGAACCATGAGACAAACAGGATATTCACTGACTTTCAGGCTACAGATCCTGAAGCTGTACCCTCTTGCTCCTCTTCAAGTTTTTTTCTGGATCTTCTGCTTCCTCCTGGCTAGCTGGGCCTCTCGCATCTCCTCCAGAGTCCTCTGGGGGTCCATGATGAAGGCCAGGGCCACGGTGGCAGTTCCGTCTCCGTCCTGCCGTGAGAAACACAGGAAGGAGGCCCAGAGGAAGGCGCAGCCACCCATGAAGGCCGTCCGCAGGTGCAGCGGCATCAGGACGAAGTTCAGGAGCTGGACCCAAGAAAGCAGAGAGACGTGATATTTCTGGAGCTGCGTCATCGTCAGATCCAACACTTTGTTTAGAACTAGTTAAGTTTGCACAGGACGCTTAATAAAATACAAATACTTCATGAAAACCTTTAAATATATGTTGCAGATTTAATTTAATTTTTGTTTGTTTGTTTTCCTTCAACTAAAACAAACAACTAAATTAAAATAAACGATCAGAATGATGAGATTTAATATAAAAAAAATCAAATGAAATTAGAGCAGAAATTAAATTATGTCTTCATTTCACATGTTCCATATAATCTGCCAGTCCTGGACTTTTATTCTTTGTTCATTTAGTATTACTTTTTCATTACAAAATAAAGTTTCATGTTTATTAAATGTAACCTGATCGTTTGTTTAGATTCTCAACCGTGTTCAGAGTTTTTATTTATTTAAAGATGACGGCCAGATAATTACCTGCATGAAAGGCCAGTACATGAGTCCAGTCTGAAAACAGAAGAGGACGACGAGGACATGAAGAGGATATGAGGAGGACACAGGGAGGACATAAAGAGGACACACGGAGGACATGAAGAGGACACATTGAGGACATGAGGAGGACACGAGGAGAAAATGAGACACAGTGAGGACATGAGGAGGACACGAGGAGGAAATGAGACACAGTGAGGACATGAGGAGGACACGAGGAGGAAATGAGACACAGTGAGGACATGAGGAGGAAACGGTGAGAACATGAATATGACACAGTAAGAACATAAAGAGGGCACAGTGAGGACACTAGGTGGACATGAAGAAACACAGTGAGGACATGGAGAGGACACAGTGAGGACACGAGGTGAACATGAAGAAACAGTGAGGACATGGAGAGGACATAGTGAGGACACCAGTTGTACATGAAGAAACACAGTGAGGACATGATGAGGACACAGTGAGGACATTAAGAGGACACAGTGAGGACATGAAGTGGACATGATGAGGACACAGGAAGGACATGAAGAGGACACAGTGAGAACATGAAGAGGATACAGTGAGGACATGAGGAGGACACAGTGAGGACATGAAGAGGACACAATGAGGACATGAGGAGGACACAGTGAGGATATGAGGTGGGCATGAAGAGAACACAGTGAGAACATGAAGAGGACACAGTGAGGACACAAGGTGGACATGAAGAAACAGTGAGGACATGAAGAGAAAACAGTGAGGACATGAATAGGACAAAATGAGGACATGACATGAGGTGGACATGAAGAAACACAATGAGAACATGAAGAGGACAGTGAGGAAAGTATTTACAGTATATAACAGTAAACTGCAATGAATTGAATGAATGAATGGCGTTGTTTATTTCCACTGTTGCCATTGTGCTTGTTCAGGATGGGAGACTGCAACAAAGTTAAGATTCAACGAATCTGCTGCTTCCTTAATTAGAGAACTTTACTAAGTGGCTTTTCTATGTATGTGAATGTTCCTGTAAAGTGCCCTGAGACAACCTTGTTGTGATTTGGTGCTAAATAAATAAACTGAATTGAATTGTGGGAATATATTTAGTTTTGTACTAATACTTGGCAGCAGGTCCAGGAGAGAAACCCAGACCTCTGTCTCCCCAGAGACCCTCTCCATCTCCTTCTGGGGGGACCTTAAGGTCTTCCCAGACCAGAGAAGATCCATGAGCCCTCCAGAGAGTTCTTGGTCTTCCCCAGGGCCTCCTACCAGAGGGAGGTGCTCAGAAAACCTCCACAGGGAGGCGTCCTGATCAGATGAACATTCTCAAATGACTCTCTTAGATGCAGTGGAGCAGCAGCTCTACTCTGTGCTCCCCCTGGATGACGGAGCACCTCCTCTCTAAGTCTGAGTCCCCCCCACATGAACCACATCATCTGCATAAAGCAGACATGAAACCGTGAGGTTCCCAAACCAGACCCCCTCCTCTCCACGACTGTGCTAAACTCCACCTTAAGTCTGTCAATAATTCATGACTTCAACTAGTTGATGAGTTTGAAACAGTCATCTGTCTGTCTGTAGTCATCAGTCTGTCTGTAGTCATCAGTCTGTCTACAGTCATCTGTCTGTCTACAGTCATCTGTCTGTAGTCA